TAAAATCTGATCATAGTAAAATTACTAGTATTGCTGATATAATTTTGATTTACTTAGTTGAGTTACCACCCTAATACGTACGTACGTACGGATGTTAAAAGCTGTTAAGGTAGTGATTCGTCCATCAATCTACTGTGCGTACGTACATAAAGTTTTTAATTTTACTAAATAAAATTACATTATGGCAACGGTTAATAAAATTATGGTAACGATAAATAAATTTAATAATAAATGACTGTTCTACTCGTTATAAGAGTATACAAACATTAAATTTTTTATAGAATACAAGAGTAACTAATTATTAGAACATATAATGGCAAGAATAATCACAATTCACAATACAGATCTTGATAAATTATGAAAAAAAAATTTTTTTTATCATTATAGCTTGAGGTATGATTAAAAAAGATGTGGACTTCGAAATTGATGAATAAAAATTGTGCATAACAATGGTCATTTATTACAACTATAATAAATAATAAAATAAAGCTTTATCGTTATGAACTCTTTAACAATAATGTACACTATCTGATATATAATAAAGTATTATCGTTATTATATGATTTGGTCCCATTCGAGCACTAAAGAATAAGTTCCGCATTTCGAATCGATATTTGTCAGATATTCATACTCGTGGTCGAAATTGGTTCAGCTTTTCTGCATACTACTTAGGCTTATGTCGCAACTAAAATTCGGCTTAGTCAAAATAATTTCGGCCACATGTAAGTTATAAATTCATGACTATGCGAAAGGAAAATTTTGTAACAAATATCTATAAACTTATAAGAAATCACTTTTATACGAATTGCTAACAAAACAAAAGGTGATAATTAATATAAAAACCAATAATTACTAGGGTCAACAAAGAAGGTAGGCGCGAAACTCATTGGGGAATAAAATATGCAGGATGTATCTTTGTGAATAAAGTAATCTTGTGGTTAAAATGACAATACAGTCAGTCATATTAATAAAATCATAATCTAAAGTTCGTATTGTTCATAAATTCATAAATAAATGAATATATATTTAAGTGAAAAGAAAGACTATACAGTTTCGCTTACAGTAACTTATAAGCAATGAGTAAAGAAAATAAAGATACAAAGAAGCCGGAAGATATAGACTTTTCAACTAAGGCATTGCACGGCTTAGATAAAAAGGGTGACCAGATCAAAAAATATGAAAAAGAACGAAATGATTTTCCAAATTTATCCCCCTTACCAACTGATCCTCTAGATCAACTACGAAAAATATGTGCACGGCAAAATGATATAATGACAAATCCTTTAAAAGAATCACAAGCAAAAGCAACTCTTAGCAATTTATCGAAAGGCCAATCTGGAGGGTTGATAGCGGAAAAAAATAGTTCAAAGTTAATAAAAAAATTAGAAACATTTCAAACGCCAAAAGACAAAACTATACCATTGAGACCTCCATCTGCCAAATTTTCCGGGTTAAATTATTCATCAAAATCAGTATCTTCTATCGAATCGAACATTGAATACTTTGAAAAACTAGCTTCAAAAGTCATTCCTATTAATGAAAAGAAAGAAAAACCCATATCATTATCAGCAGTACAGCCTAAACTTGAAAAGAGGAAAATGTTTAGTCTTCCAAATGCGCCAGATGCTTCGAATTTTTTTGTTAATCCCGATTATTCTGTCGCATTTTTTAAAAAGTTACCATCTGAAGATAAAATAAAAACAACGAAGAAATCATTATCACTTCCGATTTCGTCTAAAAGTGAAACGGTTCAACATTCTATTTCTTCAATATCATCGGCTGCTCCAGCAATTAATGAACTTAAAACAACTACCACTATTTCACAACCTGACAAACAAACTGATTCTTCAAAGGATGAAACTAAAATATCAAATATATTTAGCGTTAATACTGTTTCTTCACCAATCTCCTACACATCAAGCAATTTGAGTAATTTGAGTAATCCGAATAATTTGAGTAATTCGAGTAATCCGAATAATTCGATTAATTCGAGTAATCCGAGTAATCCGAGTAATCCGAGTGTAAGCGAATCATTACAAGATTCTCAAAATTTCACTAATCAAGAAGGTTTTGATGAACATAAAGGTCGGAGAATTGCCAGGCTACGAAAAAAGTTTGAAACAAAACGTGGTTAGTTAATTTATCATTCATTCATTTATATATATTAATATAATGATATATATTATTAATAAGATTAATATCTTCAATATCATTACAAAATTAAATATACGTAGCAGTAGTAAATATTGCTAGTATGCTAAATCTTCCAAAAATAGGTATCAAAGATTTATATTACGATACTCAACAACATATTGACAAAAAAAGTCAAGATTTTTTTCAAATCGGTCCTTTATTCGCAAAAGTTGAATGTATGTATCATCCATCATTACCGATTTTAAAAAAAGATCCTCGAATAAACGGATCATTTCTTACTTTTTCAAATATTGAACATGCTAAAAATCCTGATGTGAATAATTGGTTTGAAGATGCTCAAAAAATTATATTAAAATCTAATCAAAAAATTGTTAAAAATAATATAGTAGATACTAAAGAAAATTTAAATTTAACTAATGAATTATCTTTATATGAAATGTTAAATGATCAATTTTTGGTGGATTTATTTAGAGATGAAAATGGTATTATTCGTTTTGTTCTTGTTTATTTATTTACTAAAAAATTTTTATTTGCAAAATTAATTCGATTTTGTGATAATATAATTCAAGAAAATATTGATTTGGCTTCTTATAGATTAGAAAAAATTGCTAATTATAGAAAAAAAGATTTATTAGTTATTATTAGTAAGGATAGAAAAAATGGTTTTGAAAATTTTGGTTATAAGGATTGTTCCGAAATTTGGGCTTCTGATGTTATAATTTGTGAAAATAATGTTTTATTATGTAAAAAAGTTGGGTTTATTAACGATGAATTTAGTGAAGATGACTAAAAAAAAAACTTTGAAAATTTATATATATATCTATTTTTCTTAACTTTCTTTTTAGATTATATAGCGATAGCATTAAGACGTTAATATATATAACTTATCACACATGATTTTTTATAGTTCATCTGATATATGATCTGCGATAAAATTTTTTTCATCTCTATTTTTTTTTAAAAAAAAAATGATAAAAAAATGATAAAAAATTTTATTGGAAATTTTAAAAATCTATTAATAAAAGTTCAAAGATATAATTCGATTCATTATAGATTTTATTCTTCTGTTAAAGGTATTAATCAATCAATTCAATTATAATTATTTTATCTCGTTTTAAATGTTTTCTGATTTATTAAACGTTAAATAACTATAGATTATTCAATTTCAAAAACAAGGAACATCGGAATCATCGCTCATATAGATGCTGGTATTTTCATTAATATAGATTATGGTTTTTAAGGTTCATTTAATAATATTTTCTAATTTTCTAATTTACTTAAATAGGTAAGACAACTACTACTGAGCGTATGCTATATTATGCTGGGCATACAAGAAGAATTGGAGGTATTAGATCAGTTTAGTATATTTATCTAAATAAATGTTATAAAAATTATTTAAACAATATTATAAATTACTTTCTCCAAGATGTTGATGATGGAACTACTGTAATGGATTATTTAAAACAAGAACGTGAAAGAGGCATTACTATAACTTCAGCAGCAATAACATTCGCATGGCGCAATTATCGTATAAATTTAATAGATACTCCAGGTCATGTAGATTTTACTGTAGAAGTAGAACGTAGTATACGCGTTCTTGATGGTGCTGTAACAATTTTGGATGCTGTTTCTGGTGTTGAAGCACAAACTCAAACTGTTTGGGCACAAGCAAATCGTTATAATGTTCCTAGGATTGCTTATGTTAATAAAATGGATAGAGTTGGTGCTAGATTTGGTAAAACTGTTAAAGAAATGAAATATAAATTGGGTTCAATACCTTTGGTTTGTCAGATTCCTGTTATGCAAAAAGATAATCGGGGAAATATCTTATTTTGTGGTATTGTTGATCTGTTAGATATGCAAGTATTGGATTGGAATAAAGATCCTAAAGGTTCTATTATAAATAAAACGCCACTAACTGATAAGTATCCCATTATGGGTTTATATGATGAAGCAATAAAATGTCGTTCAAGTTTAATAGAAGCTTTATCAGAAATGGATGATAATATGTTAGATTTATTTTTATCTGCAGAAGATCATATGAAAATTTCTGTAGAAGATGCAAAGCAGGCATTACGTAGAGTGACGTTGAGGGGAAAAGCTGTACCAGTTTTTTGTGGCGCATCTTTTCGTAACATTGGTGTACAGCCTTTAATGGATGCTGTAATTGATTATCTTCCTTGTCCGTTGGATCGTCCTGCTCCAATTGCAAGTTTATCCGATGCTGAACCTGTTGAAATTCTACCGAAAGAGAACGAAAAATTATGTGCACTTGCGTTTAAGGTTATACATGACAACAAACGCGGTCCGATGGTTTTCGTAAGAGTATATTCAGGTGAGAAAGTATGAATTTGTAATTCGACCTACTTAATCTATTAACTCTTAAGATTTATTTATGTACTGTAGGTAAATTAGATAGTCATATGACATTATATAATACAAATACTCAACATAAGGAACGCGTAAACAAGTTACTACAAATGTATGCAAGCGATGTAGAAGAAATTCCATCAATCACAGCGGGTAATATTGGTGTAATAATTGGTCTTAAGGAAACAAGAACAGGAGATACATTAATTCAATTTAATGACACACGGAAAAGTCTTCGATTACAAACCATTGATATTCCTGCACCTGTATTTTTTCGTGTAGTAGAGGCTGCTGGTATTTCTGAAGAAAAACCTCTAGAAGAAGCTCTTAAAAATATATTAAGAGAAGATCCTTCTCTTCATGTGCATATTGATCAGGATTCCGGGCAAACTTTGATAAGTGGTATGGGTGAACTTCATTTAGAGATTGTTAAAGACCGTTTGTTAAATGATTTTAAAGTTAAAGCAGAATTAGGAAAAATGCGAATATCATATAGGGAAACTGTTGTTACTGATAAAATAGATCATACATATCTATATGAACGCGAAGTTATGGGGAAAAGGGTAAAGGCCCAAATTTCTTTAACTATTACTCCACTTTATGAAAATGATCAAGGATCATTTAAAGAAGGTGGAAATAGAATTACTTTAAACCTTACAAAAAAAACAATTTTGTCAGATGAATTAGATCAATCTATAAATAGCCAAGAAACAAATGAATTAATAAATCTATCTTTTGAAGAAATCTCTAATGCTGTCTATACTGGAATAATATCTAGTTTATATCGAGGACCAATACTTGGTTTCCCTATAACGAAACTTTCGATAAATGTACATTCATTACGTTTATTTGGTGCAGAATCGACCAAAACTGCAATTAGCACGTGTGCTTCACAAGCCTTGGCTGATGCATTAAAAGGTAGAAACCTTGTATTACTTGAACCTTTAATGAATGTAAACATTGATGTACCAGAAGAACATTTAGGTGTTGTCCTTGGAGATTTGACAGGAACACGTCGTGGAAATGTTTTGGGACTTGAAACATCTGGAAACGTATTCGATAATTTTGATAATAATATCGAAACATATATTCCATCGGACTCTACATTCTTTTCGTCTAATAATAATAATGATACAGTTGTTAACCCAAAGAGAGTAATACATGCGCACGTTCCATTATCTACAATGTTGGGATATTCTTCTTCGTTAAGATCGTTGACGGGTGGAACGGCGTCTTTTGATATGAGATTATCTTCTTTTGGAATCATGAGTGATGATCGAGCAAAAGCTGTTATTCGTGAGATGCAAGGTGGATTCTGATGGGATTTATATCTTATATCACTATCTTAATATGAAATTTTTTAATTTTTTTTTTAGATTTAGGGCAGAGTTGTTAATAAGTGCTAAATTAGATTTTAATACAGTAATAGGGTTTATATTTGCAGATAGGGACTCTGAATTTCAACATCAGACGGGGCATTGTATATTTGGATTGTCGAAGGATAACCTGAACTGGCTCTCTAAATCACATCCTAAAATTGAAATTATTATAATATATGTATTGTATTATATATGAATTTTTTTTACGCACAATAATTATTAAAAATCCTGCAGTAATAAATTTACATATACCGTATAGGCGCGTAATAACGCGTTATTTCGAGCCCCTGCGCGTTATTTCGGGACGCGCATGCGCGATAATTCCATTATGCAAATTTTTAAAAAAATCATCAGGAAATTTTTTTTATTGCAGTTCTGCGCAGATTTGCAAAAAATCAAATAATAAATCAAATGAAAATCTGCGCAAAACTTCAAATTTGATACTATAAATGCAGAAATAAGATGCAATTCTGTCAAATTCTAAAAAATTTTGCAGATTTTTTACAACAATTCTTAAAAAATCTGCAAAAATACAGATTTTTGCAAATTTGCACTTATTTAATTTTCCCGATGATCTCAACTACTTTCTTGAATGATAATCTGGTACATACGGAGGGGCGCGTTATTTTGAGACGCGCATGGGCGCTATTTTGAGTCAAATATGCCATTTTTAAAAAAAATCGAAATTTCGAAATAACGCCCATGTGCGTTATTACGCGCCTATACGGTATATTAATACAACAGTTTAAAGTACTTTTTGAAACTTAAAACGTTTCACTAAGCACTAAGATTTCGTTATTTATAATATCGCCTGCTTTATAAATCAATAATCATATTTTGGTCAAAATAAAGTAGCCAACTATATAGATAGATGTTTAATACTTAGTTATTGTTCAAATTTTCAAATATTCATATCTTTATTATGAACCTTATCATTGCGATTTCTGCAAACTCGGAAATTTTATTAAGATTGATCAGGATTACCTGATATAGAAATGAAATTTATATGTACGTAATAAGATCCCTTCTTGCTTAATTGTATTGTTAACTTTTCACTAACTTCAAATTTATTAGCCCTGCGAAAATCCACACGCCCAACAACAGGATGCTACCGTCCCAATACTGAATTATAAAAATTGTCATACAATCTTACTATTACATACAGTAGTTGTGGAAAATTATTTCACGTGATGCGGCGTAGCTCGCCACGATTTATTAAAACTTTTCAACTATGACTAGCTTAAAACATACATTCGACTATCTAGTATCAATTATATTCTCACCTTGCTTTATAAAGCAACTAATTTTAGGTGCTCTCTGTGATTCACAGAAACATCCCAACCACAGAAATCACTCTTAGTCACTGCGGAATATTTAAAAAAGGTGCAGAATTAACACAGAATATCACTGAATTCTTAAATATCGCAACATTCGATTACAAATTCAGGTCAACACCAGAAAATCCTGGAAAAGTTACGCGTCAAATCACAAAAATTACAAAATGGCATCACAGAACTGCACAGAAATTGGTAAACCTTTAAAAAATTTCACAAAAATCATCGGCCCTAGGTGAAGGGAGACCCTTGCCTATATTATTCTATTTCTCTTTGATTACTGATTTAAACTAGATTTTTTTTTTAAATCACGAAATTTATCGGATTAAGGTTTGGAATGGCTTCATTTCACCGTTTTCTTTGGTACATTCGTACCGAAAAACCTAACAACTCAGCATTTTTTTGAGAAGGGAAACCCTACGTGAGACACCCTCTTTTGTAGCCAAGCTTCTAAAGGTTCGCCTGAGTGTTCCTGGAGCAATATCAAGACCAGATACGTATTATTGCTTTATTTTCTTCCTGATTTCATCAAGTTTTTTTTTTTTTGTTCAAGGCTAAGGACGGCTTGAAGACTTATTTAAATTTATGCCACCCGTTTATTCAAGTTAAACAGTATATCTAAGCAAAATTTTACTGAGAACCTAGCTAATCATTAAAGGATTGATCCCTCCTCATGTTCTTGTTCCCACAGAAATTTAATCAAAGATACGCCGCTCTTCAAGCAAGGCCATGTGAACCAGTTGGAGGCCTGTAGTATTACAACTTGCCTTTTATATCTTGTGCGATTAGAGCTTCGTATTTATATTCGTTATTCGAATAATATTCGTATTCGACGAATATTTTAATATATCTGACAATATAAGTTGTAAATTAGGCCGCTCAAAGCTAATTAGTTAGTTAACGTCAACGTTTTAGGTCCAGACACTCAAAAAGGAAACTGCAACAATATCACTTGGTGATTATTCGAGTTGACAGTAAGGTCAATCAATCAATTTAAGCACTGATCTACGCGCGTTGACAATCATATGGGAATCTTGATGATAACAGAGAAATGCAGTTCGTACGTAACTACCCCAGCAGCACCGACAGATTTTCACTGATCTGCAATCTAGAACATTCGATTTACATGTCTTATCCAATAACGAGTCTCGTTT